AAACAAATGATGACTATGATTATGCTATTCAAATGGGATTATATTCACATAATAGTATTTCTAATAAATATATTGTAGGTGGAATGGTAGTTTCTAGTAAAGATAAAGTTCCATATTTGTTTTTAGCTAATTCATATAAAATCTCATATTGGAAGACAGATATAGAGAATTATAATGGAGACTTTTCTATTACTAATAAATCATTTATGGTAGAGAGGAATCTTGGAATAGATATTAAAGGTACATTACATTTACCAAGAAAATCTGCATTCTTATTAGGAAAATATGAAGATATTATTTTTGAACAAAGTACTACTGAATATTCATTAGGAAGTGATAATGTATCATTTGTATTTGTAAGTGATGAGACTACTACTACTACTAGTAAAAGAGAAAATGATAAGAGTACTCCTAATCAAGGGATGAGTAGAAGAAGAAAATTATTTAAAAAAGAGTTAATTAATTAATCAATTAACCAATTAGACAATTAAATGATAATTGAATCATTTTTAAAAATTAATCAATTAGTTTAATTAGATGTTTAATTTCTAAGTAAACATGATCCAGTAGTTTCATTATAATCATAACTTACTATACTGAGAACATTAGAGAAAGTTAAATCTCCAAAAATTCTTTGAAGACCAAATGGCATATTATTTAATAATATTTGGAGATAATCATTGTATTCAATAGAAACAATAGGATGATTAATAGTAAGTGATGAATATGAATTTTCACCAAATAAAAAGAAAGAATCATTAAGATTAAATGATAAACTACTTTCTAAAGGAATTTGAATCTGATTTTCATTTGTATTACAATACATAATAACATCATATTTTGTTTTCTTATCATTGAGTATAAACAAGAATCCTATTCCATAAATCTTTTCATTACTATTAGTATCATCATCATTATTACTATCATCATTAGATAATTTGACATTAAATCTTAAATCATAATTAGCCTTTGTTCTAAATAATTCAGTCTTTAAACTAGTCATATCAACATTAATTTGAGAAGTATCACTATTCTCTACTATTGCTGTAGCACTTTTCATATTAGTAGGATCAAATTGAAGAATCTGATCTACTTTATAGACAGTAATATTACCAGCATAATCATTTATATCAAAGTTCTTTGCTGTAGGTTTTGGAGTAAGTCCACTTCTTCTTGTGGATGCTATTGCACGTCTTGATCTCATAATTTTTCTTAGTTTTAGTGAAAAATAAAGAAAGAAAGAATAAGAGAACGATTAATTAGATTCTAGTAATGATATTATTATCATTGAATCTTTGTCTTATAAGAGACTAAAAAAGACATAAAAAGATAGTTACAAAAACAACTATCATTGAAAATAATGGATTCATCATTTCAGCACTATTATCAACATGATTATAATTATAGTCATAATCTAAATTTAATCCTGGTAATTCTTCTTTTGAAGGGTCAATATAAAAATAATTTTTCTGATCTTCTGTTAAACATACGTCTAAATCATTAGTGAAGCTATTAACAAGATTTACACAATATGAATCAGAGTATTCTTCACCATAAATTTTATTATTTACTATAGTGAAATTCCACCATTTTCCATTGTCAGGAAAACATAATTTCTTTTTAGAAAAAAATAGTTTGTAAGTTTTTACATCCTTGGTCATGATATGTATAAATGAGAAGATATGAATTCCTAATTTCATCAATAGTAGAATAATTAATTTGAAGTGTACGGTTTTCAATAGGAGCAAATGCATTTTTACAATTTTCCATAGTACTGTAATAAGTAAAATTCATATGTGTATTATTATTATAAAAGAAATAAGCAGCATAATCACTAAAATCAATACAACTATTAAGAGGATAATATTCAGTTTGATATTCATTGTTAACATATTTAAAGTAATTGTATGGCTTATCCTCATTTATAGAATTAAGTGCATTGTCTTGGGCATCAATAATATCATAGTGAAATCTTCCTTCAACATTAATAATTGTTAAAATAATAAAAAAAAAACATTAAACAAATTTATATATCCCAAATTCAATAAAGTCTTAGTTTGTAAGAGAGATTCATTGATAATTCAGCAGAACAGCAACCCCAAAGAGAGTCTAATAATAGATAGATAAATTTAACAGAGAGATACAGTTAATAATCCTTTTTTAATCAGATTAACATTAGTTAATTGAGAGATGTCGCTATCAGTTAAATTCATTTGAGAATCTAATTGATAATAAGTTAAATAAGGTGATTGAACAGTATAAGAGAATGATTTATTAAATTGATTATTAACTGAGAGTGTAGATTGATTAGTATGATTAATTAATTCATTAATAAGAGGAGTATGAATATATGAGAATGTGATTGTTGAGATCTTGTCGTCAAAGTTAGTGAGATTGATCTTAAGACTTTTTGGTATTAAATTCCATAATTATGTTCAATGAATTCCACCAAGTCGATTCTATAATGGTCTTATAAAAATGTAGTAACAAAAAAGTTAATGTAAAATTTGACTGATTAAAAAAGGTGTTAAGTTGTCCTCTATTTTCTCTATATGTAGAGATTTCCTGAATGCTAACCATTTATACTCATTTTACTTATCAAACTTGATTGTATTTCATTGATTATTAATTCTAAGATTTAATCAGTAGTTAGTTGTTGAAATGAAGAATAAAAATATCATAATTTATATTATCATTTCTGTTTTATTATTATTTTTATTTTTATTTGTTATCATTGAGTTGTTTATTTTATCTTATTTGTTTTAAACATTGATATCTTCATTGTTATTTATATTTTGTTTATGAAAATTGTTGAATCTTATTTCAAAATGAATGAATTGTAATATTCAAAATATTAATAATGAATTAATTTAATATATAATTTATGTAATAAGAAAGTGTTATATCATTTGAATTATCTTAATAAATGAAAATAAAACATTCATATAAATATTTTAATTTATTATTCATGATTTATATATAAATGTTATTTATATTTCTTCGATTTGAATAAATAAAAATGATGATCTAATATTGTAAATATTTAAATATTCATTATTCTTGATTAATGTTTGAATAAAATTTATTATATATTGACATATCAGATTATCATTTCATTTCATTTTATAATAATATAAATCTAATAAATAAGATAATAATAGATACATTAATATTTACATTTATTTTATTTATTATCTCCATTCAATTATTCACAATACTGAATAAAATGAATATTTCATTAATCTAACAAATATAAAATGACAATCATACAACCAATAAACAATAAAATTAATATAATAACATAAATAACAAATTTAAATACAGAAAATACACATTCATTTCAACTCATATTAAAATAATTATCATTTTCAAATTATGATTTAAATAATTTAAAATTAAAAATATATAATACCAATAATCAAAATATTAAATATATTTGTTCATTATAAATCTATTTCATAATCAATTAATCTATTTTCATATAACATAAACAATAATAACTATTGTAATAATGATGGAGTACCAATAAATATAATTATTATAGAATTATAAACATTTTAAATATCACAAAAATAATACAAAAAAATAATATTAATTGTAAATATATTTTGTAAAATAATAAACAAAGATATTATAAAGAAATATAAATCAAAAGAAAATGAATCAATATATATAATTAGAAGTGATTAATTACATTATGGATAAATCAAATAAAGAAAATTAGATGATATTAGTAATATCATATGTTCTATATATATTTTGATAATAATAACTCATTTTATGATAATATAATCATCCTATTAATTATTAAATTAATAATCAATTAAGAAATACAATTGTAAGTATTACCATTAAAGAATATGAGAAAATATCAATTATTTAAATCAATTATATGGTATTAATAATTATATAATTTCACTATTTTGTATTGGCTATGAATATTTTTTATGTTAATCATAATGAATATGTAAATATAGAATTAATGATAAATAAATGATAAAAAAAATATTAATAAATAAAAGAATAACATAAATATAAAAAAAGAATAAGAAAATATTTGTTTAATCAATGTGAATATACTCAAAAATCATTTAAATCATTGTTATAAATGTATTATATTGTTAATTTCATTTGATAGAAAATATGTAATAATTGAAATATACAAATTGGTTGGTGTGTATTAAAGAATGAATCATAGATATTTAATTAAAGAATCTCAAATTACATTACCAAATATGAATTATATCAATACATCTCACATAGAAATACTCAACTTAACAGTGAAAGAACAATGATTAAAATAAATCCATTAGTAAACATATAAAAAGGTAATGGAAGAAAGAAAATAAATTATGAAATAGTGAAAAATGAGTTATTCTATCATAACGGTTTGAGAATACACAATAACTTGAATAAAGGAAAATCAATAAACATTAATACTGTATTTAAATAGAAAGCGTTGTGAGAAGTGTTTTATCTAAATAGAAAGAAAAGATATTAATTTTATTAAAATTTAACAAAACACTATTTTTAAAGATGTAAATTTCAAATAATTTTCAATTGTTTGATAATTTTTTTGGGTTATTAAAAAAGAAAAAAGAGACTTAAAAATAATAAATTAGTAGTTATTAAATAAAAAAGTGAAAGAAAAAAAATCCAACTAAAAATAGTTAATTGATGAGCAAAGACAGAACAAAAATACCGGATAGTCAGTTTTTAAAGAATCATATCAAATTTAACCGTCATATCCAAGACATGTTAGAAAGAAATATTGCAATAACAGAAAACACATTAACTACATATTGTCGTGAAGTTCATAATAAACAACCAACACAAATTAATGAGGTATTCTCTGGGATAGGGTTAGAATTACATAAATTAAAATGTGTTCTTGTTCAGTCAAGTGATGAATATATTAAAGAGATTCAAAACCAAATTGAGGATGTGATTAAACCAATGCGTAAAGAGTTTGTGTATTGTTGTGATACGTTTGGGTTTCAATTATATGAAGGAAAGCAAATTGAATGTTATTCTAAGTATGATGGAGGAGACGTATTTATTGATCGTGAATCCCGATTGTCAAATGGAATTATAGGATTAAGTCCAGATGGAGATATTATTTATCCATTTATTGTTCTTAATAAAACTGAATGTGCAAAGAAAAGTACTTATAATGAAATTGAAAAGAAATGTATTTTTTCCTTTAATTTAATGTTATCAATTAAATCTGCTGATATACAAAAATGGTGTGTTGAGTCATTAATTCCACAAATTAATGAAAAGAAAAAAAAATTAAATTACAATGGAAGAGCTTTAATCATTATTAATCATTTTGTATTTAAATTAATGAAAAACATAGAGCATCAATTAGATAAAACAGGGATAGATGTGTTTGTTTTACCAAAAGATTATGGAGATGAAAATGAACCAATTTATAAAACAATAGAACTTTGTGTTAATCAACTTAATAATAAAAGCTTTTCTTTTCTTAAGAAAAGTCATACAATGGAATATCTTCAATTTCTTATTAAAAATAGTGAACTTATTAAAGAACAATTTAACTTGGCTTATCGTTGCAATTACACAGGAGATTTGATTGAAATTAATCAAGAATTACAAAAAGAAATTAATGAAATTGAACTTAAAAAAGTAAACAACGAAAGAAAAAGTCTTCAAAAGAAAGAAATAAAAGAACAAAATGAGGAGGACATAAGAAAAAAAAGTGATAACGTTATTGTAACTAAAGATACTCCAGACGATAGTGTCAAAGAAAAATTAAAACATAAAAATGATACTATTGAAACAATTAATAATTTTGTTAATGAGTTAATAAAGGTTATTGAAGGTGTGCCTTTATCTTTAATTATTTGTTGTGATGTTTACGAACCACCTAATTTAAAGAAAAGTAGTGGATGGACTACAAGAAGTGGAAGAATGAGAAAGAGTGAAGAAGTTAAAGAAATGAAAGCAAGTGTAATACTTTGTATTAATGGAGACGGAAAAGGTGCTCGTCCTTTATGCTGTGTAAAAGAAATTGTTAAAAAACAAATGACATTACTTTTTAATAACAAAGTATATTTTAAAGATACATCTGATGGTTATATAAATGAAGAATGCTTTTTATTATGGTTATATGATGAAGTTATACCATTTGTTACTGAACAAAGAAAGAAAACAGGCAATGAAGAACAACGAATTGTATTATTGATTAACGAAGAACTAAAAAGTTGGATTAATGAAGAACAAATGAAACAATATCTTATTAAAACTGTATTCGTTCCAAAAAAATTAAAAGAAGCCACAATGCCATTACAACAGGTGTTTGATTGTATAGATGAAGAAGTTATTAATTATGTTGACCTAAAAGAGTCAGTTTGTTTTACTACTTTAGATACATACTTTGAAACCTTCGAAGAAAGTGAAGAACAAAATACACTTAAAATACATGAAATGTTTAAAGATTTTAATTATACTGAACTATTACTCTTAGGAGATCAAGAAGAAATAGAGTCTATGAAAAAAAGAATTATCAACTCAATCTTTCTTTTTGAAACTCCTATCACTATTGACATACCTCACAACATTGATGCAATCACGTCATTTGATTTTGATAAAACAGATTTAAATATTAGAGAAAAGAGAATATTATATCGTACTCTAATAGAACCTAAATTTAAAGATATTAAAAATGCTTCATTACAACTTTATTTCCTTCACCTTAAATTTCCACGACTAGTCTCTCATCTTTTTCCTTTCTTTAATGATTTAACTCATCAGAAACGTTCTTTAAAACGATTGTTTGATGATTGATTATCTTAATATAGTAAATAATAAAATAAACTATTTTATATAACTCTAATTTTTTTTTATTTTTTATTTGATAAAAACCCTAAAACAATTTCTATTGTCAATCAATTTTATTTATTTTTTTCTTGTTATTCATACCATTATTCAGTCTTCTTCGTTTTAGTTAACGCAGCACGAATTCTCTCTAATTCTTTTGTTGCACCGCGTACATTGGTTTGGTCATCTTTTAATTTACAATATGCTACAAAACAACGTATTAACAAAGTACTAAATAGAAATATATAAAATCAAAGAAAACAAACAAAAATAAAGTGTTGCATATGAATACGCCATTGCACTATTTAATTTAATTTTATCAGCTGAAGATAAAGTGTTATAATCAATTTTTTCAAATTCAGATAATTTTTGTTTTAGTAGTTGAATTGATTTATTGACGTCTTGAACACTTTGTAACTGTGTTTGAAGTTGTAATGAAGTCATTGTTAGGTTTAACTGTTTTTCGTGTAATCTCAAAATTCATTAATTCAAATTTTTTTTTATGTCAACTTCAACTAATCAAATTATTACAAACGATACTTTAGAACTCCTTGATGAAGATGATATCTTTGAAGACTTCAATGGTTTGATTTATTCTTTTATTCTTTTGTTTGTATATTCATTTATTTAGATTTTAAAACAAAAGATGTTGATGACTCTACTCTTCATTGGCAAGACAACTGGGAAGATGAAGGTGCCGATGAATTTACAAATCATATTCGTTCATCACTTCTTCATTAATTTACTTCCATATACTTCATCCTTTTATTTTATTATATTTTTAATAAAATTTAATATAAAATAACTATAACAAAATTATTCGATTATCACTTTTCTTTTGCTTTTTTTTTTTATTTAAAATGTAAAGCCATCATCTTCTTCATTATCAGAAATCTCACTTTGACTTTCATCACTATCATCCTCTGAGATCGTAACGTCTAACTCATCATCCTCATCCTCTTTATTACCATTAATATTAAATTCATCTAAAGGATTAAGTGTAGAGCGTTGTTGTCTTGTTTGTCTAAATGGAATGGCAATGTCTTTTAATGGCTCAATATCACTAAACTCTTGTACTTTAGGTGTAAATTGATAAATAGCTTTCGGTGCTTCTTTAGGTTCAAGTTTAATTGGATATTCTTTTAAGTTTTCTAATTGACCATGTACAAGAACATTATTATTTTGAAAGAATTGAAGATAAGCACACCACAATGGATTTTGCATTAATGTTTCCGGATTACCTACAACCACTAATCCATATTTTGCTCTAGTAATACTTACATTTAGTCTTTGAGGAATAGAAAGAAATCCAATATCTGATATTTCATTTGAACGTACAGTAGAAAAGATAATGAAATCTTTTTCTCTACCCTGGAAAGAATCAACAGATGCAATTTCAATGTCATTTAATTGTGCTTCAGAAACCCTTCTATTTAATGATAGCCTTGAAATAATAGCTTGTTTTTGAGCAATATAAGGTGTAATTACACCAATTTGAGATGGATCAACCTTATTTACTAACATTTTAATAATAATTTGTTCTATAATAAAAACTTCTTCATCATTTAAGTAAGAGGTACCATTAGAGCCATATGACTCTTTTCCATTTGCAGCAATAAACATCATAGGTTTATTTTGTTTAAACCAGAAATATTTTAATGAAGGGAATTGTCTTTCAAGTGCTGTAACACCATTTTGTAAGACACCATCATAAAATGTTTGAGAACTAAATTCTGATAAACATGGATGCATACGATATTGGAATTGAAGTCTATACGGTTCATGTCCTAGTTGTAATAATCTTGAAAACATAGGGAGTCCAAGTCCATTCTTTTTTGCTCTTGAAGAATTAAGAATTGGTCCTAATTGACAATGATCTCCAACAAGAAACAGTTGTTTTACTGAATTGTTTAAACAAATTAAACACTCTGGTTCATCTGCTTGAGTACTTTCATCTATTAATACTGTATCAATATGTTCTAATATACCATTTAATCGATTGTCTAATGCCCCACAACAAGTACAACAAATAACATCTGTTTCTCTCAAGAGAGCAAGTTCAATTTCATTTATTCTTTTTTGAATTGCTGTTTTATTAACAATATCAAGAGAGTCTGGATCATCTTTGTAATCTTGATATAACAAAAACATTTCTTTATCTTTTTTTAATTGCTCAATCATCAATGTTTTTAATGAATAATCATGCAATGATTCTTCTGCAAGTTCTCTAGATTTACTGTATACTCTAATCACTTTTACTCCTGTTTCAATTATTTTTATTCCAAGTTGATCTACAGCAATATTACTTGGTGCACAGACAAGAACTTTCTTTCCAGGATTTGACTGTACTACATGATAAACAATAGTAGCTGAAGTAACTGTTTTACCAGTTCCAGGAGGTCCTTGAATAAGACTTAATTGTTTTGTAAATGACTTTCTTACCACATCAAATTGAACTTGATTTAATGGAGGAAGATTAGGAGCACTCAAAGACGCTTCAGTTGGATGACGACTTAAATACATTTCTTTTTCTTCTTTAAATTGTTGTTCCATTTGTCTGTCAATTTCAGTTATTGGCATTCCTAATAGTCTGTCTCTTAAATACTTTGACATAGATGCTGCAATTGGTTCAACTTCTGTTCTACAAAAATCAAGTAATGCCATTCTTTTTCTACGAAATGGAATAGAAAGCCAGTGGAAACAAATAGAATATTTAAATTGTTGATTTTGAGGAGTAACTATTTGTTTTTCTATTGGAATATCTGCTTGTCTTGATAATAATACTGTAACATCTTTTCCTTTAATTGATTGAACACTTCCAACTAAAAAGGTATTAATCTTTCCAAGAAATTCTTTCTTTTCTTGTTCATTAAATTCACCATAGTTATGAATTTCATTAACCTCAATTGATTTATTCTTCATTGGAACATAGAAAAATAATGTGTCATTAATCGTGATTGAAATCTCTTCATTTAATGGAACTTGAAAACTTACATGAACAATCTTTTTGATATCTTTTTCTGTTCTTGTTCCATCAAAAGTCAATGTCATATTAGTAAGATGTTCTGATTCTCTTTTTTGTCTATCAGCTTCAGCTTCTAATCGAATAAGAGGATAATAAGTATGATAATATTGTTTACAGTCATGATAATTTAAATAAATAGGATGTAATTCTTCAAATGTTTCTGTTTCTTCTTCAAACTTTTTTCGATTATTTTGTAATTCCCATGCCATTTTTCTCATTTTTTGATATGAAATACTTTGAACAATATTCATTTCTTCATTACTTGGTTGTGGACATACTTCATTTACAAATTTTCCTTCACAAACAATACTTGTCCAAGTATCTACATCCCATCCAAGATTTTGAATTGTAGTGTTATATCTACAAGTTCTGCATAAACACGTTGTCATATCAGAATTTTGTTTTACTTGAAGAAATCCAAGAACGAATGGATTTCTTGTTTTACATAAATTACATTGAATATATTCGTCTGAGTATTTAAGGTCTTTATGTTTTAATGATGACACATGATGAATAATATGACTTACTTTTCCATCTCCAGTACCATTACAAAAATACTTACCACACCCACATCGTATAAGTTTCTTTTTATCGGCTAACCCACAATACCAACACCGTACTTTATCTTTAGTCGTATTACTCATTATTAGGTTTTAAAAGTTCTTTTTTTCTCTTCTTTTTTTTAAGTTTTATTAAATTTTTTTTCAAAAATAATTTAATTTGTTTGCTATAATTAAACTATTAATTATAATTTAAAGATGTTTCTTTGAGTCTTTTATTTCTTCATTAATTACATCATGCTTACGATCTTCTTCTTTTAATATAAAGGTCATAGTTTTAATGTCGTCTTTAAAAAGAATTGTTTCTCCATCTTTAAATCCTAAATCAATCAACTTTTTTTTTCCTACTTTTTCATACATTTGAATTTCTTCTTTTTCAAGGTCATCTCCTGATTCATATAATAGCTGATCTCCTTTAAGTATAGTTGGGTTAATTAAACTACATCTTTCTGTGATTTGATTAATTATATCTTTTAAAGTAAATACTTCTAAATCACAAACAAATTCAGAAACTTCATTACCACAAATATAACATTGCTTATTTGGTTGAGAAGTTTTTTCAAATGTAAGGAGATGATTTTTTAATGGTTTCTTTGCTAAATAACATATTCTTAAATTTTCTTTCTTTTGACTTAATACTTTCATCATTTCAATAATCATTAATCCAGAAATAATTGAATTAGTTGTTGGAATAGCTGGGATAATATTGCCAGCTTTTTCTTGTACTTCAAATCTACTAATCCCTTGAAGATTAAAAATTGCACATCGAATATTTGTACATGCAGTAATAAAATCAATCATATCATCATCATCCTTTTCAAATTCAAACGGACCATTATTTTCATATCTTTGTTGAAGAATATTAAAACTATTATAATACAATTTAACAAATGGTTTTACATCTTTTAATAGTGACGTATCTGAACAATTAATAATTTCTTCATACGTCCATATATTTGGTTTTTTTCTTAATTTCCATAATTCTTCTGATTGATGTAATACTTTAATATCTGAAGTAAATACTTTGTCATAAACTTCTTTCCATCGAGTTGTTGTTGATGAAAACTGAAAATCATTTAAATAATTCCCATCATCAGCATTACCAAATAATTTTTGTATTAATTGTTTACTCCAAAATACACAATGAACAGCTGTACTTGGATTAGATCGAATGGTACATACTGCATATCCTTTTGGAGGTACTTTTGGTTGACACTCATAACATTCTGTTTCTTTTGGAATAATTGGTGTAGTTTGACCAATAAATCCAGATGTTCCACCATCTATTAATGGAACATTAGCACAAACGCACATTCTGTTAACATGTTTGCGGGCATTAAGATTATCTAGTGCGTTGATGACAACGTCAAATGTTTTGTAATAGTCAATATTAAATTTATTGTTCTGTATTTCACAATGATGTGAAACAATTTCCGCTTCAGGGCCATACCTCTCTTTTGATACTTGTGCTGCAATAACTGATTTTGGTTGTCCAATATGATTCTTATTAAATAAGAATTGTCTATTTAAATTTGATAAGTCAATTACATCTAAATCAATAACCTCTAAATGTTTAAACCCAATAAGTAAAATGTTTTTTAATACCTCACATCCAATTCCACCTGCCCCAACAACAAGAATTCGTTTTTTCTCTATTTCTTCCTTACTTAGGGACATGAACTATAATTATTAGTTCTTTTTTTATATTCCTAATTTCATTATTAAAACTATAGTTAAATTATTTTTTTTCAATACTCTATAAATATAATAAAAATCAAAAAGAATTGAAAAGAATAACTATAATCTCTTTATTTATTTTATTTAAGTTATCATGCGAGCACTTTTATTCCTTTTGTTTGCACTATTATTAACTGTCCGTGCTGAAGAAGATTCCTTTGACTTGGATGAAAATATGGAGATGGAACATGAGTACCAGTTAGAAGGTAATGAATTAGATGAGGAAGACAATGACGAGTTTGAGTTAGAAGAAGATGAAGAAGAAGAAGATGAAGAAGAAGAAGAAGAAGATGATGATGATGATGAAGAAGAAGAAGATGATGATGATGATGAGTTTGAGTTAGAAGATGAAGAAGACGAAGATGATGAAGAAGAAGAAGATGAAGAAGAAGACGAAGAAGATGAAGACGAAGAAGAAGAAGAAGACGAAGACGAAGAAGATGAAGACGAAGAAGATGAAGACGAAGAAGAAGATGAAGACGAAGAAGAAGATGAAGACGAAGAAGAAGATGAAGACGAAGAAGAAGATGAAGACGAAGAAGAAGATGATGATGATGAGTTTGAGTTAGAAGATGAAGATGAAGAAGATGAAGATGAAGAAGATGAAGATGAAGAAGATGAAGAAGATGATGATGAAGACGAAGATGATGAAGAAGATGAAGATGAAGAAGATGAAGACGAAGAAGATGAAGAAGAAGATGATGAGTTTGAGTTAGAAGATGAAGAAGATGATGAAGATGAAGACGAAGATGAAGAAGATGAAGATGAAGATGAAGATGAAGAAGATGAAGATGAAGAAGACGAAGATGAAGAAGATGAAGACGTTGATGATTTTGAATTAGAGGATGAAGAGGAGGATGATATGACTACATTTGATGAAGAAATGGAAAACGAAGAAGATTGCCCATGTAATAAATATCATTAAAATGAAATCATTTTATAATAGATAAAGGGTCGTCTTTAATTGGTTTAATTTTTATTTGAAAAAGAAACAAACTAAAAAACCTAAAAATATGCAGCAAGCAGATGATAACGTTATTTCTACAACGTTTCCTTTGGTCCCATTAACTTCACAACAAATAAGAGAAACACAACTTCCATTAAGTTTGGTTATTAGACCATTTTTACATGAGGTGCAACAAATTCCAATGCAATTATTAAGAATTCCTAAATGTAAAATATGTTCTGCATATTTTTCACCATTAACCCACTGGATTTGTCCACATTCAAGGTATTATTGTTGTGTTTGTCATCAAATAGTTGCAGACCAACCACGGAGGTTTATTGATTGTGATAGAAACAAAGAGATAATTCCAGAGTTAAATAATAATTGTGTTGAATATTCAGGAGCTCGAATAAAAGAAGAAACTAATTTTACAAATATATTAATTATTGATCAGTGCATTGTTAAGGATATGCAACCATTTATACAAACAATTAAAAATTCATTTACTATTTTAATATGTTCTAATACTATATCAACTATTGTTAAAGGAACAAATGGATATACAGAAAAAATCTTTTTAAATTTAACTGAAGATGATATCATGCAATTGTGTCCAATTTATTCTCATACCAAAGCATATAAAATTGGAGAGTGGTGTAAAAATTATAAAGGAAACGTTTTTAAAGGTAATTATTTAATTGAAGAATGTTTAACTATTGCATCAAAAATTATTGGAAAATATGGAGTTATTCAATGTTTTCATTCTCTTAACTATGAGTACATGAAATCAAAATGTAATAAAGATCAAATGAAAGACTTTGGAATTGATTGTATGAAAAACGCAATAATGATAAATCATTATTTAATTGGAGTGAAAAATACTATTGATTGTTCTCTTTTAAGAATTCAATCAAAATTAACAAATGGAACTTTTATATCAAATACGTTAATAGATTCTTGTTTTATTGAAAAAGTTAATAGAACTATAGTTGGATATAATGGAAATATAAGAATAAGAACTCCTGATAATATTGATGTAATAAAAGCATTTGGTTGTGTTGTAGGAGATAGTTTTGGGGATTGTAAAGTTGGAGTATTAACAAAAGACCTTACTGTAATATTTAAATTAAAAGAATTAGAAGAAATGGTTAAAATAAAACATCAATATCAAGTTATTGTTACTTACATTGGTATTAATGGAACAAAAAGAATAAGAGTTTTAAATTTAGGAATAACTGTTGCCCCACATATTTTGGATGCAATAAAATCTGTTCAACCTCAAATGGTTATATTAACAATGGTTAACTCAAGTTTGTTTATTTTAAATTATATTAATCTTTTATAATTTATTTAATAGTGGCAAATGACTATTCTAATGGAATAAATAAAAAAGATATTTTAAAGAAATATACTGATAGGTTGGTTACTTTTCTATCATACATGGGAAAAAATCAACCATTTTCACAATTCTTTCATGTCCTTTTTAAAAAATTTATGGAAGTTGAAGGAGTTCAAGAACAAGAACTCATTTTTTCAATGGAAAAAGTTCATAGAAATGTTATTACAACACTCGTTCCAAAAATTGTAATTGTAAAACCTCCAAATCAGTTCTTAATTATTAGTAATGAAATTTTAGTAGTAAATTGTGAATTAATGTCTTTTTATGCTAAAGAATTAAAAAAGAAGTTTGGTGTTCAAGCTATTGAAAAATCTTGGCAATTAAAATTAACTTTTATTGAATCAGTACTTCACCAAGCAGATAATTATCAAACCTATTTCAATTATCTAATGTCTTTGACTTAAAATAAATGTACTTCTATACTTCTTCTTTTTTAATTTTATTTGACAGTTACAGTATAAGAATTAAAATGAAGATGGAATGATGAAAATTAAACGTAAATATAATTGTTGAACACTTTATTTATTATTAATAAAATATTCTCTTATATATATATTTTATTCTGTTATTTTATATTTTGAATATAATGAAATATTTCATTTTGAATAAATCTTACCATTATTCAATTTTATTTTTTCTCTTTTCATGGTTTCATCCATTAAATTAATATAATGCAAATGAT